CCATATATACACAAACATACATACATACATCACATATACATATACATACATACACACACACACATATTATAATTTGTTAATATTACAGTATTTTGAATTTGCAATTACTGCTATAATAACAATATCAATAACAATATTGGGCATGTAGCTACTATGATAATGTTTGAAGCAGCTTTTCTGTTTGTTCATAACTAAGCGTAAGCAAACAATTGCGTATTTTTATTCTAGCTGTGTTCGTAGCACCCTTTTATATTGTTTTCAATAATGACTAAATCGTTTGATCGAATGGACTAAAACTTCAAATTGAATTTAAGTGGTGAGCTTTTCATTAATAAAACTATAATATAATATAGCCTGTACTGTATCACACAGACATAACCCTCGGTTTCCCCAAAAAGGTCACCGGAAGGTAGAGAGTGTAGAGAGAAAACTGTGTCTACACAAGTCTTATGTAGAGTCGACTCCCTCGAGATAGTTTTGATTTAATAGTTATTTGTAAGAGCTACAATAATTATCTCGAAATAATTTGTTAATATGCAACGTATTTTTTTAATAAAACACCTTTACAAAACCACGAAAGGTTTCTAAAAAGAAAACTGATAAATAAATCCTATAAAATCTGATACTCTTTCTGGGGAGTTCCATCACAGCTTTAGTCTATACTTCTATATTAAGAAAAATAATAAATCTAGAATCTCTATATATAAAAATCATGTCCGTTAGTCTCGTAAAAACTCGAAATTGGCTCTACAGAATTGGACGAATTTTTTTGTATGTATTTGCGTCCCTGGATGGTTTTAAAGCTCAATTGGATCCAGAAATCATCCGTGCAAAGCTAGTAAGTTCTTTTCTGGATTTTGGCGCCGCCGTGTTTAACACTGTCCATTTCGACATTACTGGGTAGGTAATGTTAGGTCTCTTTTTAAATATCGCCAACTAGGTTAGGACGAGTGAGTGCTTTGATAACGCACACCCTTAGGAATTTGTAATATCTGTGTAACACCTGAAGGCTTCCAACAGTTTTAGAATTATATAATTATATAATAGACTCGGGCGTTACTTTGCGGAAATCTATTAAATTTAAGACGTGAAAATAATTATATAAGATCCGCGTGATAATGGTGTGTCCTTACTTATTCGAGGAAACACACGTTTTATTTTTACGCTTTGTAGGGCTGTTGATCGCTGTTACATAGACATCTCGCACCTGTGACGTTGCTTCGCGTTACCGGTTCGATTATTTTTAGTTTGTCTATTTATAATAAACTACGAGATAATATTAATATACACTTACAAGAACACTAACAATAAAAGTTTAAATAACATTTATTTCAAAGAGTAACAAGATTGTTTTTATATAATGATTTCTTATATTTACGCGAACACTACACATTGAAATAATACTAGTTTTTACGGAATTTATCGCGTATATTTAACTTTTTAAATACCCGACGTTTCGCCCCGCCCTTGACCATGAGTGCTGTAAAGCGTTCGAAACGTCGGGTATTTAAAAAGTTAAATGTACGCAATAAATTCCGTAAAAACTAGTATTATTTCAAGATTTTTTTTAATTTGACATATTCGCTAATGAGAAAGTATGGTTTAAAGAGCTTGATGACAATTATATTGTCTATCTATCTCTATCAATAACAGCCTATAGTCCACTGCTGAACATGCCAGGCCGGCTGAAAAGTTCGCGGGGTAGCTTGCTTAACATAGAATACTATAATACACAATAGAATGGCTGTCAACTTTATTTTATACGAGGATTGGCATCGCCAGATCCGATTCGCTGTGTTGACCGACTGAGTAAATGATTCTTGATAATCTCCCGTTTCAATTTCCCTCTGACACGTCCTACGACACCCACGGGACGATATGGGGGTAGTGGATACTGTTACACTGCCACCACACGGTTTAATTGTTATTGTCTTAATTGTCATTATATCGTCATTGGTTGCTCCTAAGGACAAGTAACGTTGTTGATTCAGGTGTTGGGGCTATAAACTTTGTTTAGAATCTATCTGTTTGACAATAACAAGCAATCTTAACTTGTTAACTCGTATATTTTTTCGTTTTGTTTACTATCTAAGGTTTACAGGCGAGAATATAATATCAACACCTATTTGTGGATAGGGTGACAAATCAGTCCACCAGATGAACAGTCCACCTCGTGGTAAGTGGATGCTGTGGCCCATAGATATCTACGTCTGTCCTCGATTACGAATCAAAATGCAATTATCTTTATATCTTACGAGGGGAGGAATAGTTGTCTTTATGTATAGTGCTGCGCGCCACAATTAATGCCTGGTACATGGCGACACTACCACTAGCGCCCTCTGGTATCAGTAGTACAATCGAGTTTTGTTATGAGTGTGATTTTAAGTTGTAATTAGTGTTACGTAATTAAAATGTCAATTTTGGTAATTTTTTTTATTAGTTTAAAAAAACGTTACCCCTACACTAAGATTTTCTCTTGTATCGTGGGGGCAGTTTACAATCATAAATTGCACAAGGACAAACATCCAGACCCGGAACAACTATATGTAGGCCATACAAATACTTGTTCCGTGCGGGATTCGAACCCGCGACCCCCAGCGCAGCCATTGCTAAGCCACTGCGCCACGGAGTCGTCAAGTCAAATTCAGTCGGCAATTTTAATTGTCTCGAACCCCAATAAACACGTAACAATAGTTATTAAATACGCGACTCCGACGTTGTTATGGGAAAAACTATATCAAATCAGTACGTTAGTAATTTCACTTGGTTGAATGACTACACTACACAACTGTTTGTAATGGGTCGACTGAGTAAGGATTGCGCTCGTACGGAATACCATCAAAAATAGCAGCATAAACTATTTTTATGGCGGCTTTAGACGACCGGTAACTGGTTACTGCTATAACGAGTCATTCCTTCTTAGTTCTCAAGGGTCTTCTCGAATATGCATAGAATAGAACCAAGTAGTCACAGCATATACTTACCATCTTCAACACTATGTGCTCGTTTACCACTTTTATTTCTCTAAAGAAAATGACTCGTTCGTCGCACTCACTTCGATACAAAAAAAAAACAAATGTTCCAACGATAGATAAAAAAAACAACGATTTCTATAAGGTGTTTAAAATACCACACGAAATAAAAATTGGGCAAACTTAGTCGCATAGATTTGTGATAGTAACCATAATATACTTAAGCTTGGAGTTGTAATCAATATAATACATATTTCAATTAAAATTAGCAAGTGCTACTTAATGTAGGGTAGATCGACAAAAAAATCGACATCAATGCTTATAGACATTAAATCCAACAAAATTCTATGAATTGAAATAATACTAGTTTTTACGGAATTTATCGCGTATATTTAACTTTTTAAATACTCGAAGTTTCGAACGCTTTATAGCACTCATGGTCACGGGCTGGACTGAGATGTTCAACGTCCAGATGTCATAGTTAACTGCGGTTGCCATAGATTAAAATTTAACTTTTGTTCCGATCTATACAGTATGAACTTATGGTATCTTGAAGTCTTGCAGTTGTATGCTTGGGTTGGGATTTAATTTTATTTATTATAGGATCCCAAGCAGATAAAAATGCAGTTACTTTATCTAAAGGTAGAATTGTGAAAGTGTCGTTTAGACCATCTTAACCTCTATAAATTCTAAAATTCAGTTCACAATGGAGTTAGAGGCAAACAATTCCTTAGCTTTTCTAAATGTGTTAGTAATTCGGAATCCAGATAACAACTTGAGCCATACTGTGTATAGAAAAAAGACCCATACAGATAGATAACGGTGATCCTCACCACCATCCTTCACAGTTAGCTGCCGTGGGTAAATCTTTGTTTCAGAGAGCACGAGGGATCTGTGACAGTAAACACCTGGCTGCCGAGCTCCACCATGTCAAGCAAGTTTTGCATGACAACAAGCTTCGGGTCCCGCGCCACAGTCACAGTGAACGAGTGAAGACAGTGTACCTGCTGTACTGCCATATGTTAGAGGAGTCACTGACAAAATTGGCTACATCTTGAAGCGCGCTTCCATCAAAACATACTTCAAGCCGCTGAAGAAGATTCGTCAGTTTTTACCATCAATCAAGTGTAATGTCCCTCTGCAAGATGCAAGAGTGTACAAGCTTGATTATGAATGTGGTCTCTCCTACATAGGACAAACTAAAAGATCAATTAAAACCCGCGTTAAAGAACATATAGCTGATGTGAAGAATCGACGCTTCGGAAAGTCTGCAGTCTGTGAACACGTACAGGATCGCTCCCGTCACTACATCGGATTTGATAGACCACAAATCCTCGCTAAAGAACACCCTCCTGTGTGTGACTCCTTCCAAGGATGATTCGCGAGGCTATTGAAATCAAAAAACATCCTAATTTCAATAGAGAAGATGGCTGGGTGCTACCATCTGCTTGGGATCCTATAATAAATAAAATTAAATCCCAACCCAAGCATACAACTGCAAGACTTTAAGATACCATAAGTTTATACTGTGTATATCGGAACAAAAGTTAAATTTTAATCTATGGTAACCGCGGTAAACTATGACATCTGGACGTTGAACATCTCAGTCCCGCCCGTGACCATGAGTGCTGTAAAGCGTTCGAAACGTCGGGTATTTAAAAAGTTAAATATACGCGATAAATTCCGTGAAAACTAGTATTATTTCGGTGTGTAGTGTTCGCGTAAATATAAGAAAAAAAATTGTATGCGTTCAGCCCTGGGACGCTAACGATTACCGTTGCAGCATATTAAAGTCCACTGCTGAACTTAGGTCTCCCCCATAGATTGCCTCATAGGAGGGATATTTGCCACTGACGCCAGGCTTGGCAAGCGGGTTGGCAACCGTAGTCTATTTTTATTATTAGTCGTTATTAGTAAGACACTGCTGTCCACCTCTTGATTTGTTTCCCTCTGTCGCCTCTTACGTCATCCACGGGATGAAATGGGTTAGCGTAACGTTAACATTCTATAGTAATCAATGAGGCCGACCTTCCGAGACAGCGTAGCATTGTGGAGTTCGTCCAGAGTTGGTCGTGGGGCAGCGTGTAGAGACAGCACGTTTCTGTAGTTGTCCAGGCGCGGCAACGCTTCCCGGGTGAAGTGCCTGCAAAAAAAAACATACGAAAAAATATTCCTATTACTTGACTGACCCACAAAATAATATCTCTGTGATAGGAAACTTTCTCTGCCTTCTTTCCATCTGGGTACTATCGTCGGACTGCCAAATAGCAGTGCTTTCATCGATGTGTTGCTGTCTAAAGGGTAATAGAGAATCTGTATGATTAAAGGTTGTGAGGAATTCCAACTTAGTCCTCAGGAGTGACAACGCACCTGTTACCTACTTTGTATGAAGTGGGATGCACGTGACCATAGAGTAACGCCTTACCATCAGGTGGGCTTTAAATTACTTTGCCACTTCAGTTTTATAAAATAAAAGATAAAGATTTTCGGGTCTATGTACATATTATGTATATATATATATATATATATATATATATATATATATATATATATATATATATATATATATATATATATATATATTTATGTTTATGTTTCCTTTTCCTTGACCTTGACCTCCTATAGCCTGAAGGTCTTGATGAATTTTGAAGTGAGTAAAGTGGTTGGATTTCTGTTTATTTTTTATTTATTTTTAGAATAAGGGTGATAAACGAGCACACAATCCACCTGATGATAAGTGAATGCTGTGAGCCCTTAAGAAGTTTTGATTCTTATTCGTATTCGTCCATGAGGACTAAGATTGAATACCTCGATTCCAGTAAAAAGGGTCTCCTGTTCTCTACACTCATCACACGCAACACATTAACATTAAGCGGTTATTTTAAGCTAATAATCTGTGAGAGCGTGGTCCTTCCTCGACCGAGATGACCCGTAATTTGACCATGTTTATCCCCAAAGTGTCATAGGCCACATATAATTGTGATGTTACGAATACAACGCTCGCTTATTCGAATTTTAAGTCAATTTATTATTCAATTGAAAATCACCGCAGCCCTGCAGAATTTTATTTATAATAGTTTATGTGTGTATAAAATGAAATAAAATGAAGATATTTGTTAAGAGAAATAATAATGAGAGCCATAATGATGATATAATACTTCACACACGAATTTAGTTTTAAGATTTTTTTCATCACAACAGTTTAACAAAAGCCCTATAACAAAGGCCTCTTCCATAGATTGCGTCAAGTTGTCATCGAGATTATTATTCATAAATAATGTCCTCGAGACCGAGTTTCGGTCACGGCAACCGGTCTCGGAGACTAGGACTACTACATCTGCGCAGGATAGTGTTATAGAATTTCGTGACATAAAAATCCAATAAATGATTTTGGCCCCATTCGAACCCAGGGCGTTTGCATTATTCGCAAAAAAACATTATTATCAGCATTAAAGCAGTAACTCAGGACACATTTAAAACAAAAACAAAGCTTTCGAGAAGTTTCCAGGTAAGCGTAGGGTAACGCTAAACAAAAAAAGCGAGAGAAATTATAAGGCGATAACAAACTCGTCAAGCGTCAAGTGATAAGAAAGGAATGTAACTTAGTTTCTAACAACACAGTATGAAAATGCAATATTAAATAATGGTTCATTACGAAATAAGCGTGTAAAGTGGAACCAACTTTTAACCTACACTCGAAACGTACATCCCTACCTAATCTATAAATAAAATTGAAGTGTCCGTCAGTAACATCGAAATAACCGCCTTTTATTAAGACATGCACATCCATTTACAAAACAAATTGTCTGTCTGTCTATCTGCCCGTCCGGACTAACCTTTGGAACAGCTAAACGCATGTACGCACGCTCCCTCGCACGCGCACACACACACAGACACACACGCGCGCACACACCCACACACAAACCCTAACGCGCGCACACGCTCACACGCGCACACACACGCACTCACGCACAGCACTCACGCACGCGCACGCGCACTTTCAAAATATATTCAATATGCTGTTTTTTTAGTTTTTACTCTATACAGATTTTCATTTTTGATAATTTACATTATGTCCTTTTTTATTACTTTACTTACAAATTTGTCACAAACTTATCTTATATGAAATTAAAAAAATTCTAGTTATATTGTATTTTTTATCTAGGCGATTACAGAGAATAAACATTTGAAAATTTGAGTAAAACTAATTGGCACTTAATTAAAGGCAATCCGTCTCAAGGATTAGTTTCTCTTATAATTATCTTTAACTGAAACAAAAATTTAACTAGGTCGCGGTTTGCTTTACTGTATGAACTAAGATAACACTTTATTAAAAGATATAACAATCTTGCATAACAAAGTTAAAGCCACGCTACAGCCGTCCAACCCCCTACCAGGATAACAATTTAAATCTACGAGAGACGTTCAATGTATACTCGGTATTATATAGGGTGATTTGTTAATAATGTAGGTAATTAAAAAGTCACAAGCTTAAGACACTACTTGAAGGTATACATATGAACTTTCATCTTGATAACTTCATTACTTCTCATGTAACATGTGTTGAAAAAATCGAACACCGTGCGGTGTTGAAATTCCTCACTAAACAAGGAAAAACTAATATAAATAATATCCATGAAGAAATGGTGGCCGTTTACCAAGACTCTGCTTTTTCAATGTCAACAGTACAGAAGTGGTCAAGTGAATTCTAAAGAGGCAAGGAGGAAAGCATCGAAGATGACTCCCGCCCGGGTGGAAAAATCACAGCGGCTACAGAAGAAAAATGTGAAAATTATTGAAAAACTTGTATTAGAAGACGCACGAGTAAGAATTATGATGTTAGCTGAAATGACTAACCTATCCGTTGGTACCGTACACACCATATTGCAGAACTATCTCAACCACACAAAAGTCAGTTCAAGATAGGTGCCGCGAATGCTACCATCGCTTCAAAAGCAGGCGCGGGTTGATTGTTGTAGGGAGTTTTTAGAGCCGTGTAGAGATGACCCAACAAGTGTTTTCGATAGAATAGTTACAGGAGATGAAACGTGGGCTCACCACTATGATCCTGAGAGTAAAAAGCAATCTATTTAATGGCATAAATAGGGATCAGACCCCCCTAACAAGTTCAACGTCACTTCATCGGCCGGTAAAATCATGGCCACAGTGTTTTGGGATTCCAAAGAAATACTATAGAATGAGTACACAAAAAAAAGTGAAACCATTAACGCAGACAAATACTCAGCCACTTTACGCCATTTAAGAGAAGCAATAAAAGAAGAATAAAGTGAAAAGCTTACCAAGGGAGTGCTGCTTCTTCATGACAGTGCACCGGTTCACACGGTACGATTCTCCAAAGCTGCTGTACGAGACTGTGGGTTTGTGGAAATTACCCATCCATCATACAGTCCAGATCTAGCCTCTAGTGACTACTTTTTATTCCCAAACTTTGGGGGAAACCTTGGGGGAAAGCGATTTGCTGACGGTAATGCTCAAGTCACTGTAAATGAGGATTTTTAGGCCAAGACACAGAATATTTTTTAAGGGAATAGAAAAGATTGACTTGAAATTTAGCATAGTTACTCATTTCGCAATGTAGACGCTCAATAAAAAAAGATTTTACGATAGTCCCATCAAAAAAAAAATCCGTTCGTTGTCGTGCGCCCAGCGATGCGAGCGTGTATCAGCTAGTAGCAGTACAATGTTGCTGTGTTTTGTACGATGAATGGCGATAACCAGTATACGCAGCATTCCATATCGGTCCCCAGGATGTAGGCAGCATCCTCCAACATATCAGGTCAGCTGTCTTTTCGTTAGCCTTATAACAAGGCATTCCATCTTAGTTCTCAGGGGTTTCAACGTCATCTCCATTTTAGATTCTGAGATTCTTAATCGAGGATTGATATAGGCTATAAGCTACAGCATTTAATTACAGATTAAGTAGGTTCTATGTTTGTTTGTCACCCTTACTTTTACTAATAATAAAAATAAGAAAGGTACCCTGGCTCACCTGAAGCTCTTTCCATATTTGGTATCGGTAACAGTGAGTGGATCATCGCTCTCCATGCCGGAGCCATCGGAGTCATCGGAGTCATCTGATCCGTCTCGTTCTGTTTTATCTTCTTCCATCTGATAACAAAAAAGTATTAATACAATAAGTTTAGCAAATTGTTAAAAAACCAAGTAATTTCTATGCAAATTTATATAGAGTCCCTTACATCAAATTCACATTTTAAAAAAATTCTTAAATCTCTTACCTATCGTTAAAAATATAGATAACGGATCATATGTTGATACCCATTGCAGAAGCAAAACGAAAGTACAGACCCTTTACCATTAGTGTTAGAGCCTATTAAAGTCCCCTGCTGAACATAGGCCTCCCCCATACATTGCCTCATAGCGAGGAAATGCATAGCTTTTAAGATACATAAAATGCCTGACATTATTTTTGTATTTTAAAATGCCAAATTATTAAATTGATTAACCTAGTCTTTTATCTACGATTTCATTTCCCGCAAGGGTTCTTTTTCCTGCATGTTCATTACCACCCTTTATATCTCCTCGGTTTCAAAAAATTTATATACACATACATACATAAACATATACATAAACAGTCGCTTTCAAGCCGATTTGAGATTTAATATTATTATTATTAGTGAACCTGGGACCGGAATCAGAAAACCAACGAGACAGTCGGCCGTCAACTTTCGACGTACGTTTTTGCGTACGCATTGTACGCAGACTAATAGTAATAATTATTAAAATTATTTGCGACACGTGTTGTATTGAATAGGTTATCTCGTGGGCCTTCAATTGAGCACTGCGATGAGTCATCCCGTCACGTGATAAAATATTTGAAATCTGTTTTTGTGTTTAATTAATATTCTGTGAACTTAGAACTTTTAAAAATGGTTTTTTTTTTAATGTAGAGTAAATGTATATTTCGCATGATGTTTTTACGTCGGCGCTCTGCGTAGTTTAGGAGTAGTAGGTATAAAAAGGAGCGTGCGTAGATGGCTAATCTGTGTTGAGAGTGGCCCCTGTGACCAAACTTCGATTGGAGGACACTATAACAATCGAAAGTCACGATCCATGTGGCTTTGCCCGTGTCTTAAGATCACACATTCCTTTTTAAAGGCGGTAGGGCTACGCTGGCACTAACTTATCATGGCTCCACCACGAATGAGTTGGCTCGACCGGGTAAAGACCGCCCCAGCACAGAATACTCGTACCAACCAGAATGCTGTGTGTCTGCTATGTTGTATGCTATGCGGTGTAGCCTTTAAGGACTATTTGAGAAAAAAAACCGTAGATTCTAATTCAAAACATCTGTAGATTTTCAGACTTCTTATAAGAATCGAAAATTTTCAAGTTTATCATTTTTATAGTATAAGGGTAGCCAAACGAGCACACATTCCACCTAATGGTAAGTGGTTGCTGTGGGCCATAAACATCTACATCTGTCCTCGATAACGAATCAAAATGCACACGCGTTGTCACCCGTAAGAGCTGCTATGCAATGTCTTGTTTCCAGTAAAATAGGTTTCCGGTTTTCTACACTCACCGAACGAAACACAGCAGCGTTAAGCTGCTATTTGACGCTGGTATTCTGTGAGAGCGTGGTCCTTCCCCGGTCAAGCCGACCATTGTGCTACAACTTTACCAGTAATATAGCTGCAGCATGGCTCTACCACGTATAAATGTATAAAAATGTGATATATAACGTATAATGTCATATATAAATTTCATAGAATAAATCAATATTTTGGCGAAATTCTGTCATGTAAAATTCTTGTTGTACTCAATTGTAGTATAACATCGAATCAAGCTGCAGATATAAGAAAAAGCACCATAAATAATTTTTATTTAATTTTAATAAATTATAGTATAAAACAAATTAAGTAATTAACACTTAAAATATTTGTGCACAGTTATACTAAAAACTTACTTCGATTGTTAAAATTTTCGACTGTCGGTTGTCGGCTAAGTTCACATAAACTCAAGATATCCTATACCTTTAAACGAGCAATTCTCAATTCTTGTATATATATATATATATAATCGGAATCTCGGAAACGGGTCCAACGATTTTCATAAAATTTTGTGTACAGGGAGTTTCGGGGGCAATAAATCGATCTAGCTAGGATTTATTTTTAGAAAATGTCTTTTTGTCCGCGTTTTTAGGCAATGAAAAAACTGCTACAATATCGTTAGAATAAGAAGGTAAATTTTGACAGTTTATTAATGATTACAAATAGCTTAATTGGTATATTGGGCGATCACAAACTCGTAATACCATGGTTCGAGCCCAGACCGACCGACCGGCTTTTTTTTGATTTTTTTTTTCAAGTTCCTTTCTTTTTTTGAGAAAATCTATTTTTTCGTGCCCTTTTTTTTAGTATTTTTTAAAAACACGAAATTTTAAATTAAACTTATTGCACTCATGATTTTTTATTCAAATAACCAGTTCAGTTTTTTCTATTATGTCGCTACGATCAAAATATATTATTCGTATTTCATCAGTATGTAATTTGTATCTAAATATATATTCCAAAACACACGGATTAAAAAAAACCGAGCGAAAAATACCGAGCAAAGCTCGGTCAACCGGGTACTAAAGATATTATATATACGTAAAGTTTTTAATAATCTAATTATTGTGAAAGAACTATGGAGTACAAAAAATATATTTAACATAGAAATCAAATTCCGTAGATTTCAACTCAAATTCCGTAGTTTCGCAGACGATGAAAAAATTCCGTAGATCTACCTACGGCAAAATCCGTAGAGTTGACTAGACGTAGACCATCCCGCAGTGTGAGTGCTCCATAATACCGGACGTGCGGTTTTCACAGCGCTCGGTTCACAAAGCACCCCTCTCCCTGAACTTCACAAATCGATGGGGACCTGAAGTAATACCCCCAATTGTGCTGAGGACGTGTGCTCCAGAATTGGCACCGGTTCTAACGCGTCTTTTCCGATAACCGTACTCCGTAGGTGTAGTCACAAATTCGTCATTTCTGTTGATGACTAAGATGGGAGGACTCCCAGCCTTTAAGTATACTGACTCTAAACCCCTCAAGAGTGCAGTGCTGTGTTATTTGACGGCACAAACCGATAAGAGGATGATACCAACCCAGATGGATTTCTAAGTGCAAAAGATCTCCTTTATAGGTGAGAGTCAGTAGTTACGACAAGTAAAAATGTAGGATCTACCAAAAATTCTACTAAAAATTCCGTAGATCTACCTACGGCAAAATCCGTAGAGTTGGCTAGACGTAGACCATCCCGCAGTGTGAGTGCTCCATAATACCGGACGTGCGGTTTTCACAGCGCTCGGTTCGCAAAGCACCCCTCTCCCTGAACTTCACAAGTCGATGGGGACCTGAAGTAATACCCCCAATTGTGCTGAGGACGTGTGCTCCAGAATTGGCACCGGTTCTAACGCGTCTTTTCCGATAACCGTACTCCGTAGGTGTAGTCACGAATTCATCATTTCTGTAGGGGACTAAGATGGAAGGATTGCCTTTAACTATACTGACTCTAAGCCCTTCAAGAGTGCAGTGCTTTGTTATTTGACGGCACAAACCGATAAGAGAATGATACCAACCCAGATGGATTTCTGAGTGCAAAAGATCTCTTTTATAGGTGAGAGCCAGTAGTTACGGCAAGTAAAAATGTAGGATCTATCAATTCAAGCATTTGATAGTTATCGCGAGTAGGAACTTGCTTTACATTTTGGTAAAGAAAATTTGAGGAATTATGGTTTGTTGACTTTGAGGTGCAATTCCTCACTTTTACAACAATATCGCAGAAAATATGCAGGACTTATTCTATCAAAAAGGTTGTAATTTTTACTCGTATTAAGCAAAAATCGTTTAAAAAGGGTTATTATGCTACTAAGGAGTACATGATTGAAAACCCCTGGGAATGAGATGATCGCTACCATGCTGTTTAAATGTTATCATACTTCGTTGTAAAAAAAATTGTCTGTCTGTCTGTCTGTTTGTTCCAACTAATCTCCTAAATGGCTGGACCGATTTTGACGAGACTTTCACTGGCGGATAGGTAACGTTATAAGGAGTAACTTAGGTTACTTTTATTTTAGAAAAAGAATGAGGGTTCCGCGCAACAAAAAATGTAAACTCATGAAATCCAATCGTGATAAATTACACGCGGGCGAAGTCGCGGGGAACAACCAGTGTTGAATAAAAATTATTGTATTCTATTAGTAAGTGGCACTACACTTGCGCGTGTACTTGTTAGTCATAATTAATACATAAATAACAAATAACGTTTACAAGTTTACGGTAAACAAGATAATAGAATATAACGTTTTCATCATAAATCATGTATTTTCTGCTTGCGAGTTTACAATTTACTGTGCCAATATCCTATTTTTTTTTAGTCAAAACTTCTTTAGCGGCGTTGTACACTTTTTTGAAATGGGTAAAAAATGTTAAACTCCCGTCAGGACACGTGACCCTGATCGAAAGTGCGTAACGGCGCCTCTACACGTTGGCCAACACAGTGGCGAATGTAGTGGCCAATAGCATTGGCCAACGTGTAGACGGGGTGATTGGGCTTCATTGGTATGTATTGGGACGATGGCCCACAAGTTGGCGCGAGATCCGTGTGGTGTCGGTTTTTTACAAAAGATCAAAGGATTGTTGGCAGAGTTTGGTCGCCGCGTCCACACGTTGGCCGCGCGTTTAGTTTGCTACAAGCTCCCAGAGTGATTACACGCATCTGATTTAAATTTTATATTCAAGCTTTGTAGGATGGATGCCCCAATTACCAGCCTTTTAGTGCCAATTTCAACTTTAAACATTCCTACTACTTTAATTAGCGCGATTTAATTATCTTTAAACATTTGTTTTAATCGATTAAATATTTCTATCAAAAAAATAACGAACATTTATTTACAATCAGATTATTACAAGAACAATTTTAAAATTAAAAAAATGAAGCACGTCGTTTATACGTGGTAGAACCATGCAGTTAAAATAAGGCCCTCTTTAGAAAATAGTATATTAATGATACTATACGAAACACAGCATCATTAAGCTACTATTTTACGCTAATATTCTGTGAGAGCGTGGTCCTTCCCCCGGTTGAGGCGACCCATT